CTCTGTTTCTCTGAAGAGCTTGAGGAGTATGGGTCTTAGTTCTTGTTTAAAGGTCTTATAGAATTCTGCTGTGAATCCATCTGGTCCTCAATGCAATTTTTAAACAGTGCTCTGTCCTCAACAAGGGCCTTAGCTTTGAATATCTATATTCTGTTGACATCACAGATTTATATCTACAGCACCAGAAATCTCCTTTAAGCTTCAGAACCAAGTATCTATTAGATATTTCCTTTAGGTAATCTCATATGTCAAAATCTGTTCTCTTGAACTCTTCCCTTTACTCCTTCCGTAATCCACTTATTCTCATTTTAGTAACTTCTCATACCAGAAATGCGAGCCATCACTTTCCCTGCTGCTACATCTGCTCTAATATCAAGTACTATTGAGTCTATTTTTTCAGTATGTCATTTCAGTGAACCATCACTACTACTCCACAAGTTTTTGGTAGAATCTTCACGGATCTGATCTTTGTCTTTTCTATATCTTCAATTCCTGTCACACTGTCTTTGTTTTTTTTTAATATTTTTTATTGCAAAGATACTGTATAGAGGAATTATAGTTACAAGATTAAGGTAATGAGTACATTTTCTATCGAGCATTGTTACCTACTCCTTTGTTTTCCCCTACTATCCCTTCCCTCCCACCTCCCACTTCCCCATCTCCTCCCTCCTTCCAGCCTCCAAGTTGTAAAGTTTATTTTCAACATAAAGTGTCTTGTACGTCTCATTGCTGTCTTTGGGTTTTTTATTTTGTTTTTATTTACTAGATCTTGAACTTCAGACCTTGTACACTCTTCACTGGTGCTCTACCACTTGAGTCACACCCCCACGTTAGGCTTTGTGCTGGTCAATTTGTAGCTGGAAATATAGGCATGAACCACTTGCACCCAGTTATCACATTATCATTTATTTTGAACACTTCTGTCTTCCTCAAGATCTTTGCACAGGCTGTAGCCTATGCCAGGAACTCTGTTTGTGCTTCCCCCACTTTTATGAGGCAGTTTGTTCTAATGACTATGAATTCCATGAAGGCCTGGTCTGTTTAGATAATCATTACTGTATTCTTGTTATCTAATAGAATAATGCATAAATTAGGCATTTAATAAGTAATAAATTAATAGTTAAGGCAAGAACACTTTACAAACTTCAGCACTGGAAAGGATCTAAGATGTCAGTCATTTAATTAGTATAGTCTCCCTTTCTATCATGTACTCCTTTTATATTCTAGTAAGGACTCTGGATTATTTCACAGAATAACTTCTGTGTCCTTTGCATTCCTGTCATTCTTCTCTTAGAGATATGACCAAGTGGAATAAAATAAGTTGATTATCCTCAGAGTATAGCAATGTGTTTCTGTTAATGCTCAATCAGGATCTTAGTTATTGCAAGGGCTTCTAGTCATCTAATATTTGATGACTTTTCTCCATATAAGTTAGCACACATTTTTAGTCTGTAAGAATTTCTTACAGCTGAGGTTGTTTTTTTTTTTTGAAATCACCCATGCTTCCCATGTGCTCTTTCACAAGTATATTACAAACATATTTCAGAGGAGAAAAATGTTGTTGAATACCTACTATATTCCAACACAATTCTAAATATTTTATAATACAGAAATAATATACCTAAAATACACAACAGGGTCATGAAGTGTGTAGCAAGCAGTTAATAATGGAATCTAGAATCAAACTTCTTTTTAATTATTACCCTATTGCTTACCAGTTGTGTGATCTTTGATAATTTCCTCAAATCTTGTTTGAATTGTACCTTCCTTATGAAGTAGTTGTGATGATACAATAAATTAACAAGATAGTACAATGGAGCTAGCACAGAGAGGTAAACATGTTAACCATTTTCTCATTCAGTCCTGTAATTATCTGTGTGTTAATAAATATTTTGATTATAAAGATGGATGAGAAAACTGATCCAGAGAGGTTAGGTTAGGTTAAGACAGAGCTTGAATTTAAACTTGTGTTAGGGTAAAAGGATCATGGATGTTTATCTGGTAAGAGTTATGCACAGACACTGTTCTGTGGTGTGGCAATACTTAACACTTTCCAGGATTGCTCTGTAGGATGCCCTGATTGTAGCTCTACCTAGCCAAGCCCAGCTTCAAATAAACTAATTGGAGGAACAGTGACACTGAAAGATAGAGCAAGTCATAAAAATCAGTCCCCTGCCCAAGACTATAAGGTCTTTGAAGCAAAAGGTGGCATATTTATGAACCAGGTGTGGTGGTACACACCTGTAATCCCAGCACTCAGGAGGATCTTGCTATACGTAACATACCCTGAAACTCAGTGATCCTCCTAATTCAGCCTCTTGAGTGCTGAGATTATAATTATGCTATCACACCAGCCGGAATCTTGCTTAGTAATTACTTTAGAGCAACCAGAAACCACTATTGAAATTTGTTCACTTGCCTTTTTTTCCTTGGAAGTAGAGGTCTTACTGTGTTGCTCAGTTTTGCCTGCAACTTCTAGACGTAAGCAATATTCCTATCTTAGCCTGTAATAGCTGGAACTGCACATGTTAACCCATCTATTGAAATTTATTTAGTGTATTTCTTTTGGCTGGTCAGACAGAGGTCAGATGTCACAACTTGTTACTAAGTCATTAGGAATTATAATGTCTTGTTTTCTTGGAAAGCAAGGATTGCTTTAATCTTTTTAAAATGTATTTCAACATTGAAAAGTATATTTAGGCATTTATTTTCTGCTCTTAGTTTTTGAAAAACTTTGCAAAATTTAGTTACATTTATTACCTTGCTAATATTTTTGTCTTTCAGGAGTCCCAGGAAAGAAGGTGGTGAAGTCATTGTCAAGTGATCTCGGACTTGTACAAGGAAATCGCTTTCAGCAAAATCATTTAAATTAGTGAACTAGTGGACTAGTGTATAGGAAACATTAAAATTGAACAATGACTCAGCCATATATTTATATCAGATTATTGGGAGCCTGTTTGTTCATCGTTTCTCATGTTCAAGGTAAATCTGTGGCTTTTTTGTTTGTTTGTTTTGTCAGTCTTGGGGCTTGAACTCTGGGCTTGGACACTGTCCTTGAGCTCTTCAGCTCAAGGTGAGCGCTCTACCACTTGAGCCACAGCGCCACTTAGTTTTCTGGTGGTTAATTGGAGTTGAGAGTCTCACATATTAAATTATTTCTGTATATAAAAACCACCTTTTCTTGTTTTCTTTCAACTATGTCCCTTTCTAAGCAACTCTGTTATATCAGCACAACTTTTAAAGACACAAAGAAGAGACATAGGCCAAACAATTTGTTTAACTTGATTGTGATACAAACCTTTTTAAGTATTTTTAAAATTTTAGCCTTTCTTTCTTTTATTTTATTTTGTTATTTTAATTGTGAAAATACTGTACAGAGGGGTTAGAATTACATGGGCAAGATAATGAGTACATTTCTTATCAAGCATTGTAGCCTCCTCCTTTGTTTCCCCTTCCCATCCCTTCCCATCCTCCCCCCACTCCCCCCACCAATGTTCTTTCCCCCCACCAAAGTTGTAAATTTTAGCCTTTCTTAACTTGTTTTCTCATCTATAACTTAGGTAGTATACACAGCGTGTGAAGGATAAAATGCAATAAAGTTATCAAGAGAACAGCTTAGAGCCTGAAAAACAAGTGCTCAAGGCTGAGCTTTAAAATGCCTATCTCGGGCTGGGAAGGTGGCTCAGTGGTAGAGCACTTGCCTTGCATGCCTGAGGCCCTGGGTTTGATTCCTCAGCACCACATAAGAAAAAAGCCGGAAGTGGCGCTGTGGCTCAAGTGGTAGAGCGCTAGCCTTGAGCTGAATCGCTGAGGGACAGCACCCAAGCCCAGAGTTCAGGCCCCACGACTGGACCAAAAAAAATAAATAAATAAATAAAAATGCCTATCTCCTTTGTAAGACCATAAAAAATAAAGATGATAATTTTAAATCATTGTCATTATAGGTCTTAAAAATATGAGTGCCAAAAAATAAAAAAATATGAGTGCCACTTGGCTATACTAAATACTAAGATTTCTCCATAGAATATTAAAATATGACCAGCATTGTAATTTGAGCTATGTGTTAATTGTAATATGAGCTATGTACTCATACTTTGGAACTCCCAAACAGGAAGTTATTTCAAGGACTCAGATGGAGTATTTTTGTGCATGAGTCTTTTTCTGAATGCCTTAATTAGGGTAATATTTATACTGAAAAGATGCTTTTTATAAAGGAAATTTAGATAGAACTTATTGATATATTCATTTTCTTAAGTTTTTTACTTTATAGGCTGTACTTTGATGTTTTATTTATAGTGATAAGGACTAATATTTACCCACAAGAAGAAACATAGCAGTGTGTCTTTTTTTTTTTTTTTTTGGTTTACCCTTCCTTCCCTCCACTTCTCTCTTTTGTCCTCCTAAAGAGACAACAATAAAAAGCAGTAACAACAACAAAATGCTTCCATTTCCTATAATTTGTTTTGATAAATAGTACTTTATTTTTTGGGGGGTGTCTGGTCGTGTGACCTGAACTCTGGGCCTGGGCGCTGTCCCTCAGCTCTTCAGCTCAAGGCTAGCGCTGTACCACTTGAGCCAGAGCGCCACTTCCGGCTTTTTTTTTCTTTTTGCTTATGTGGTGCTGAGGAATCGAACCCAGGGCCTCAGGCATGCAAAGCAAGCGCTCTACCACTGAGCCACCTTCCCAGCCCCGATAAATAGTACTTTAGATGTTCAGAGTAATTCAGCTTTTAGGTTCTTCCCCAAGTGTATCCTATTTTAGTCTTTCTGTTTCTGTGTAAATGCATAGAGCCTTGAATATGTTATCATGTCCAATTGTATTTTAGATCTAGCTTCCACATATGCCAGAAAACGTGCCATTTATCTCTCTGAGCTTGGTAAATCTTATGTTTCTCTGTTAATGCACAAGCACAGAATGAAGCCTGGAGCTTGCTGTATTTTGTCTTAATACAACAATAGGTTTATCATTACCTTGCTCAAATATAGAGCCTTCTTATAAAAGCCACTTTTATCTGTGTGATACCAAATTATATGATGTAAAACTTAAACTTACATTGTTGTAAGTTTTGATCAGTATTAGCCAAAGCTGTCATGGTTGTGAAATGAAAGTTAGTAGTCATGTATATTTTCTACCTCATTCTGAAGGCTTGACTTCCAGTCTTCAAGCTTGCTGGGCTTGCTTGTTTACCCTTTGAGCCACACTTCCAGCCTAGCTTTTTAATGATTAATTGGAGACAGAGTCTCCTAGATTTCCTGCTTGGGCTGGCTTCAAACTGAGATCCTCCAGATCTTAACCTCTTCAATAGCTAGGATTACAGGCATCAGCAACCAGTACCCAGCATGGAAATAACTTTTGACTGTAGCTTTATCTTGATTTGTATCTTAAGAAAGCAGATGTCTTCCTACTTTGATTTTCTTGTGATAAAATAGAAATAATAACACTTCATTTAGTTATACACACACTTTTGAGCATCAGATGTTACAATATAGAATATTGTAACTTTATGCTACACCCAAAAGTCATCACCACAGAGAAGCTAGACAGAGTGGCACAAGTCCACCTACAAGTCACCTACTGTAGGTCAATTGGTGCTTAGGCACACCTCTAGACAGGAAGCAAGACCCTGAAAAAAACAGTGCTGGAAGCCTGGTTCAAGTGTCAGAGTATCTATCTGCCTACAAACTGGAAGGCCCTGAGTTCAAACCTCAGTGCCACCAAAAAGAAAATACAAAAACATATTTAAGTCCATAGGTTCATGTTGCCACTTAAAAATAGCTAATTGAGCCAGGCACTGGTGGCCCACACCTGTAATTCTAACTACTCAGGAGGCCGAGATCTGAGGATCACAATTCAAAGCCAGCCTGGATAGGAAAGTTCCTGAGACTCTTATCTTGGAAGAACCACCAGAATACCAGAAGTGATGTTGTGGCTTAAAGTGGTAGAGCACTAGCTAGCTTTGAGCAAAAGTGCTCAGGGACAGTGCCCAGACCCTATGTTCAAGCCCCACAACTGACCAAACAAACAAACAAAACAGATTAATATTGAAGGACACTGAAGAACTCATTAACTTTGGAAACAGGTAAATTAAGGGGGGAAGCAAGCACTAATCCTGCCTTTTATGATATGTACTTCTCATACCCAACTTAGATAAGGAAACCATCTCATTATGGAGCTATTAATATAGGTCATAAATACAATGAAATGCTCTAATTGGAATACTGCATTTTTCATTACCCTGATTGAATTAATCAAGCTAGTCCTTAAAATTAGAGATAAGGGGGGGCTGGGAAGGTGGCTCAGTGGTAGAGTGCTTGCCTTGCATGCCCGAGGCCCTGGGTTCGATTCCTCAGCACCACATAAGCAAAAAGAAAAAAGCCGGAAGTGGCGCTGTGGCTCAAGTGATAGAGCGCTAGTCTTGAGCTGAAGAGCTGAGGGACAGTGCCCAGGCCCAGAGTTAAGGCCCCACAACCGGACCAAAAAAAAATTAGAGATAAGGAGACGTTTCTGTTTCTCTTTACCACAACTTGGAAAAGTAGCCTCATTTCAGGTTCTCAGAAGCCACAGGTCACTAATGGCTGCCATACTGGACAGCTAGCTCCTGATCTTAACTACCATTTAAAACTGTAGGGGCAAAGGAATGTGTTACAGTGATGCCAAAAGAATACAGTTAGAAAATCCAGATACTATAGAATACAAGCAACCTTATATAGGTGTGCACCACTATTCCCATTACTATCCTTGCCTGTTGTTTTTGTTTTGTGTGATGTGTGGTGTGTGGTATAGTTAGTGTGTGTGTGTGTGTGTGTGTGTGTGTGTGTGTGTTTGCTGTTCTTGATGATTTTTCCCAAGCAGTTCTTAAACTGCAATCCTTCTGTCTCACTTCCCAATTGGCTAGAATTTCAGGCAAGAACCACCACATGTGGGTCCTCTATAAAATATTCTTTATGTTTGTTTACTTTGAAGCATGACATATCCCACTAGACCCACTAGGCCTCACAATTGTAGGCTTTTGTTAGCTTGGGTTTAAAGGACGGCTGGTGCTCTAAAGTAATGATGGAAAGGTGTGCAGGATCCAGACCATGCTAGGCCTTGGCAGGACAGATAAAGGAGGCTGGATTTTCTTCTGTGTATTTTGAAACCTGTAGTACATTGATCAGATTGATGTGCATTAATTGGCAGCTCTGTGGAAAATGGATTCGAAGGGCAAACAGCAGAAGTATAGCCAGTTTGGAGATTTCTTACTTAACTGTGGGTAGAACATGATATGGTAAGAGCAGTGGATTTGTAGAAAAATATGGGGAAATGAAGTACACTTTGGAGACAAGTCAAGAGTTCCATTTAAGACAAACTGATTTTGAGGTATCTAAGCAAGTGGTAGCTAAGGGGTAAATTAAGAAACCATCAATATAGAGATGGGTGATAGGGTTGGAGGTGGGTAATATTGCCTAGGAGAGACTACAGAGAGGCTCTGGCAACTATTGTTTTCCTGAGTTTTGAATGATGGAACCCTCAACAATTCTCTCCCTCCCCTCCTCCCTCCCCCCTCTCCCCTCTCTCCTCTCTTCTCTCCCCCCCCCAACCTCTCCCTCACCTATTCTCCCTCACCCCCCCTCCCTTTTTTGGTGCTGGCACTGGTGGTTGAACTCAGGATCTTAATTGCTTTCTTGGCTTTTTCTGCTCATGGTTGTCACTCTTGTCTCTTGAGCCACACTCCAGTTTTTCAGGCCTTTTGCTGGTTAATTGGAGATAAAGAGTTTCTGGGATTTATCTGTCCCAATTGGTTCAAACCTCTGTCTTCAGATCTCAGCCTCTTGAGTAGTTAGGATTATAAATGTGAGCTACTGGGGACTGGCAGGATCATCAACTTTTCTTGGCAGCTCTATGAAATACAATCAGTAAACAGAGTTTACTGTCTTGGCTCTTCATCACCTCTTGCTTTAGTCTTCAGTCTCTGCTCCCAGCAGCTCTCTGGTTCTCTTCAGTTACTTTAGTTGTTAACTGAGCCAGAGGCTCTACAGCCCTGGGAGTCCCAGAGGTACAGCTTCAGGAATAATTCTCTAGCTTCCTTGTGGCTGCTGGAAGCCTGAAGCAAGAAACCCAGGGTTTCATCTGCTACTTAGTGTTAGTTGCTAGCTTAGCCTGCTTTATTTGTGATAAGGAAATAAACAATAAGTAAACATTCTAGTTGAAGCCTCCTATACCAACCTGACAGAACTCCAAGATAGCCTAGAAAAAATGCATGGCACACTTGTCAATCACAAACTTCTTTAGGAACCAATTATAATCTTTGTAGAACATCAGTCACACCCCCATCTGGTCCTTAAAGTAGCTGCAGAGTAAGCAGGTTTTTGTAGACCTGGGCTTACCTTGCCTAGAGTGCTTTCCTACAGGTTGCCTTGAGCAGTTGTGACTGGAAGAGGGCCTCCTGAAATAGAACTGACTTCAGTATCCCACTAGTAGCAGTGGCCCATTAAGCTGGAATGGAGTTTACTCAGTAGAATTGCGGAGTGTTCAAACTGCCAGACTGCCAAGGGATTTTCATGCTCAGTTCCAAAAAAGGAGTTATTTATTTAACAGCTCCTTGCTCTAAACAACCAGGCACTAGGGAAGGGTCTGTCAGTTGTTAATCAGTTAGCTGTGGGTCTCCTATCCCATAGTTGAACTTGTTTAAAGGTGGGGCAAAGGGCAGGCACTAAAGGGTTCTTCAGGCAAGAATCTGTTGTGGAATTAACATCACCAACTATATTTAACAGTACTTAACTGCTGGCCATTGACATTTAGTTGGGTCCCTCTACCTGTGTCTTTCATTAGTGCAAAGCTTGTGACATAGCCATGTCTGGATAGCCCATAATACTTAGTATTAGTCTTGTGCATAAGTTTATAAATAACTGTTAATTATATGAATTAAATTATCTTAATGAGATACATTAGCAGCAATTATTACAATAAAGAAACTTAGAAACTTAACTGTTGAGAATGGTAAGCAATTAGGTTTTCAAAAATGACTTATTTACAAATTCCATTTTTGAATACAGGGCAGAACCTAGACAGTATGCTCCATGGCACTGGAATGAAATCAGACTCTGATCAAAAGAAGTCAGAAAATGGAGTGACCTTAGCACCAGAGGATACCTTACCTTTTTTAAAGTGTTATTGTTCAGGACATTGCCCAGATGATGCTATTAATAACACATGCATGTAAGTATTTGGTGTAATCCTTAAGAGTAAGAAAGGTACATTTAGTACTACAATTAATAATATTGTTTGGGTATGGGTTTTTTTTTATCTCTGGTATCTTTCCTAAGAACTAAAGGTTTCCTGTGTTAAATATAAGAACTTTGTTACCATTAAATAATTAATGTTAATTTTATTATGACATGGTATAGCCTTTTACTTTTTTCTGCAATGCTAGGGCATAAACCAAGGGCCTTTTGCATGATAGGTAAGTTGCTCTACCACTTAACTGAGCTACATTTACAGTAGGTACCACTGTTGCATTTGTCATTTATGTAAATTTTTTAAAATTCATGATTCAAAACTTTTCCCTGGTTTCCTACAAAGCTAGCCTGGGCAAGAAAGTCTGTGAGACTCTTTATCTCCAATTAACCACCAGAAAACCAGAAGTGGCACTATGGCTCAAAGTGGTAGAGCACTAGTCAAGCAAAAGAGCTCAGGAACAGCTCTAAGGCCCTGAGCCCCAAGACTGAAACAACAACAAAAATCCCTATCAGTAAAAAATGACGTTCAAATTCTTGGTAATATGTCCTTTCCAAAGATGTTTGTCATAATGTTGACTACAAAATTTTATAAATTAGCTTTCTATGATCATGTGACTGATTAACAAAGAAGATACATATCAATTTGGCACATTTAGAGGATTTATTTAATAGAACATTTTTCCACTTAACATAGGTTACTCGTTGGCTCTTTAGATTTTAGTTCAGACCCAACAGTTTTAATTTATCTTAAAACCTGCTTGGCAGCTGAGTACAATGACGTCTGTCATCCTACCTACTCAAGAAAGCACAGGTGGAAGGGTGCTAATTGAGGCTAGTCTTGACCGAAGACCCTTATCTCAGCATAAAAAGCTGGGTGTGGTGGTATAATACATCTGTCATCCCAGCAGTGGCAGGAGGCATAAAAGAGATCATCATTTAAGCTGACCTGGGCAAAAAGTAAGATCCTGTATCAGAAATAACCAGAACAACAACAACAAAATGGAGGTTCAAGCAGTAAAGTACCTGGCTTAGCAAGTACAAAGCCTCCGGTTTAAATCCGAGTGTCATCAGAAAAAAAAAAAATTGGGGACTTGGGGTATAGCTTAGTACCTAGTACTTAGTACCTAGTACCATTGGAGCCAGGGATTCCTATTTGGTAATTTGAATTAAAAAATAAGATACTGAAAAGTCATATTTAAACTGATTTCTTGTTCTTCGGTATTTTGAGGGGGAGAATGGGGGAACAAGGTCTTCCTCTGTAGCCAAGGTTGGCTTGGAACTCATGATGCAATTACAATATGTACTATTATACCTACCTGATCCTTCAGTACTTTCTGATGTGAAATTACATTTTTTTCCCCTCTCTTTCAGAACTAATGGGCATTGCTTTGCCATCATAGAAGAAGATGACCAGGGAGAAACAACATTAGCTTCTGGGTGTATGAAATATGAAGGATCTGATTTTCAATGCAAGGTGAGATCTAGATGGAACCCATGAAGAATGAGGCAGAGCTGTGTGGACAGCATTAAGTGCCCTGGGAGTGGTGTGCCAACTCTACACACTGCTGTGTGTTCACATTACCAAATATCCTGGAAGAACCAAATTCTTCAAGTAATATGACTATGCTAATTAAGTTCCCAATTACTTTACTTGAAAAAAGTTTTAAATCATTCCAGGGTATCAGTACTGCAAAAAAATGATATTGTCACACCTATTTGTAAATGATACTGTTTACTGAATGCTTTATTTTATTTATTTATTTTTTTTGGGTCCGGTCATGGGGCCTGAACTCTGGGCCTGGGCACTGTCCCTCAGCTCTTCAGCTCAAGGCTAGCACTCTACCACTTAAGCCACAGCGCCACTTCTGGCTTTTTTCTTTTTGCTTATGTGGTGCTGAGGAATCGAACCCAGGGCCTCGAGCATGCAAGGCAAGTGCTCTACCACTGAGCCACCTTCCCAGCCCCCTGAATGCTTTAATAAGATGATGAGCAGTAAACTTTTTGCCATCAAGACAGCTTAGAAATGTTAAGATCTCATGAAAGAGGTATATATCTAGAGTTATCTGAGCCAGGCATCTGTGGCTCACACCTGTAATCCTCACTGCTCATGAGGCTGAGATCTGAAGGTCACAGTTCAAAGCCAGCCCAGGCAGGAAAGTCCATGAGACTCTTGTTTCCAATTAACCACGGGAAAGCTGGAAGTGAAACTATGGCTCAAGTGATAGATCACTAGCCTTGAGCAGAGAAAGCTAAGGAACAGCACCCATTTCCTGAATTCAAGCCTAACATGAAGTAGATTTAAAAAAAAGAAGAAAAGGCAGGGCTGGGAATGTATCTTAGTGGTATAGCGCTTCCCTAGAATGCATGAAGCCTTGGGTTAGATTCCTCAGTACCACACAAACAGAAAAGCCAGAAGTGGTACTGTGGCTCAAGTGGTAGAGTGCTAGCCTTGAGCAAAAGAAGCTCAAGGGCAGTGCCCAGGCCCTGAGTTCAAGCCCCAGGACTGGCAAAAAAAAAAAAAAGACATAGCGGAGGTAAGCACTGGAAACTAATGGTTTGTAGTCCTAACTACTCAGTTGGCTAGAGCTAAAGGATTAAAGTTTAAAACCAGCCAGGACAGAAAAGTCTATGGAGACTCTTGTCTCCAAAACAACCAACAAAAAAGCAGGTCTGAGGGCATAGCTCAAGTGCTAGAGTGCCAGCCAAGCAAGGAAGCAGAGTGAGTATGAGGCCCTGAGTTCAAACCTCAGTACCACTTAAATAAAAAAACAACACAATGAACCCTAAGATATGTACTCAAATGTTTTTTTCTTTGATGCGATTGTTTCTAACACATTTATAAGATTATTTCTTTGTTGCTTTGTATGTTCCTCCCCCACAGTATAACCCCTGCTTTCACTGTATTTGATGTCAGTATAATTTGTGGAGGGGAAGGGAAAAAACAAATCATTTAAATAGGGATACAGGTGGACCCATTGCAACAATGAGATGTACAAGTCGAAAACAAACTTTACAACTTCGGTGGGGAGAGAGGAGCATTGGGTGGGAAGGAGAGGGGGAAGATGGGAAGTGAGGAGGCCATGATGCTTGATAAGAAATGTACTCATTATCTTGCCCATGTAATTGTAACCCCTCTGTACAGTATTTTCACAATAAAAAAAAAACCCACAATCATGTGTTTTAGGAATCAGAGGTTTGGTAATAGTTATGAATGTCTTCATACCTCTGGTTATATACCTAACCTATCCAAAACTTTGTGTAACCATTTCTCAAGAGATTCTGCCAATGTTTTTGGAAAACAGCCCCAGTTAGAAATATATATAATTTAAGTCTTGGCTAGGCCAGAAAAATTATTATTATTTAGAAATTCATAAGATCAGTGGAAACCTTCAAGGTTATGTATGTCTATCTTTTATGTATGTCACCCATTGGGCAAATGCCTGCCAATATGCCTTACTCTCTTTGGATCATAGAAAACAAATCTTGGTTGGGAATGAGGCTTAGTGGTAGAGTCCTTGCTTAGCATGCATGAAGCCCTGGGTTCAGTTTCTTAGTACCACATAAACAGAAAAAGCCGAAAGGGGCATTGTGGCTCAAGTGGTAGAGTGCTTACCCTTGAGCAAAAGAAGCTCAGGAACAGTGCCCAAGCCCTGAGTAGTCTCAGGACTGGCCAAAAAAAAAAAAAAAAAGAAGAAGAAGAAGAAGAAGAAATCTAATTGCTCCTCCTGATGATAGCATTTTATTCACTATCCAAAAAGGTTATTTGTAGTCTACTTTGCTTTCCATATCCTCTTTGCCCAGTGAAAAAGAAGAGTTCATAGTAACCTCAATTGCTTCTTATGTGTTCAACTTGTGATTCAGGGTTAGCCTCTCCCCAAACTCCAAAAAAATGTCCACCAGACCCCAATCTCCCCATCTCATCCAAGAAATGTAAATGTGATGCTGATAGTCCATACCATCCTAAGCAGAAATCAAGACTCTATTGCAAAATTAACCTGAATCAAAAGGCCTACACTTGAGGCATGGCTCAAGCTGTAGAGCACCTGCCTAACAAACACAAATCCTTGAGTTCAAACTCGAGTACAGAAAAAAAAGTTTTCTTCACTTACCTGTTTTATGTGATAAAGTGATAACAGTTGGCATCAAATTTTGCATCAATTTCTGTTGCATTGAGTAAAGAATGATGTAACAGTCCTATTTTAGAGTGTCATTATGAATAGTAAGTAAGCCAGAAATTTTGTTTAGACTTGGCACTGTTGTCTCATACCTGTAGTCCTAGCTACTTACGAGGCTGAGATCTGAGGATCATGGTTCTAAGCCAGCCTGGGCAGGAAAGACTGAGAGACTTTTATCTCCAATTAACCACCAGAAAACTGGAAGTGGAGCGAGCTATGGCTTAATGTTGTAGAGCACTAACCTTGAGCAGAAAAGCTCAGGGACATCATCCAAGCCCTGAGTTGAAGCCCTACAACCAACCAAAAAAACAAATAAAAAAAAAAACTTTATTTAGGAGTTAATTTAGGAAAAAAAAAATTCCAACACTTTTTGCACATTTTGGTAGACATCCCTTCTGTTAAACCCAGCACCTAACCCAGGAGAGCATCTTTTGATCTTCCCTAAGCCTTTTTTTAAAATTTAATTTTATTTATTAATTTTTCATTGTGAGAATACCATACAGAGGACTTACAATTACGTGGGCAAGATAATGAGTACATTTCTTATCAAGCATTGTGGCCTCCTCTTTGTTTCCCCTTCCTCTCCCTTTCCCTTTCCTCTCCCTTTCCATACTCCCCTCACCTCCCCCCTTCCCACCAAAGTTGTGAAGTTCGTTTTTCCTGGACATAATGACTTGTACATCTCATTGTTGCAATGGGTCTACCTGTATCCTTAGTTAAACGATATGTTTTTGCCCTCCCCCCCCCCCAAATCATACCAACATCAAATACAGTGAAAGCAGGGGTTATACCATGGGGGAGGGACATACAAAGCAACATAGAAATCATCTTATAAATATGTTAGAAACAATTGCATGAAAGAAAACAAAACACTTGAATACTTATCTTGGGGTTCATTCCCCTAACGTCAACTTATTTGACCTTTTCTGCTGGACTCTTAGACATATACTAGTTATCCATAAGCCTTTATCTCAGTATTTACACAACTTACTAAGTGTGGATCAAAACCCGATGCCAGTGATTACACTTCACAGTCCCGTTCTTTGCTGCCCTCTGCTGGTAAATTAGCTTGTTACATGTCTTCCTGTGATGAATTGTTCCTCTGAAAACTCACTGCTATTCATGTAATTTGGTTTCAGTTCCTTCCTCATGTCCTAACTCCTGTCCTACACACAAAATGTTTGCTTATGCTAGAATCTCCCACTTCATAATTTCCAAGTAATTTTTTCCCACAAGGATTTTTAATTCCTAGATAAATCTGGAGATTCAGTGACAGGTAGAGGATGGGGGAAAGAGAAGGTTTATATCACCCTGTTCCACAGTCTGTACACTACTTTGCCCCTTACCCAGATATATCAGTAATCTGTGAAAGAAAGATATGTGGTTAGTCAGCTGATGATTATTTTTGTTGAAGACATACCATGTCTTCCAGGGCTGCCTCGTATATTTCAGCAAAAGGAACTAGATAGAAGAAATCAGATAAGACAAATTAGAAGTTGAAGGCCACAAAGGGAATAGCTGGCAAAGCTACAATTTAAAGTGTTTGATTCTAAACTCCTACTTTTTCTGTGATTCCATGCTGCCAGCCTTTAGTGTAGCTAGGATTACAAGTGTGAGCCACCGGCACATGGCCATACCTGTCTTTTAAGCCATCACACTGTCACTGCGCTCATCTTTCTAGACTATAACTTATTTAGGTTAAAATTTATGAACTCATGTAGAATACAGACACATTGTAAGATCTCTTCATACCTATGGGTTGTCAGTGCCCATTGCCTAGTGGTTAGTTTGCACCTTGACAAAGGAGACAAAGACAAAACAGCAGTTAAGGAATTGTATCTCTTTACCTTGCATTCTACTGGTATATGAACAAAATATATAGCCATCCTGCCATATGAGAATCTAAGTCATGGACTCATATCCTTTTTAAGGTAATACTTGATTTTCTTACTAATCATCTGACACTCAAGAATGAACTGGTTAATTTCTGCTTATATATTCTTCTTACTCTCATAAACAACAATTTCTGTCTATTAAGATTTTAGCCTAGAATCGCATTTCTTCCAGGTAGTGCTTAATTAAATGTTAGCATTGAACTGGTCTTCTATAGAACTGTTACAGAAAATGTCAACATTTAATTGCTGATATCTCTTCTTAGGAATACGGTTTTTTTTTTTTCTCTACTTGTTTTCTGATCTGTTAGGGACACATCTTCTATATGGTTGATAGTCTCTAAAAACCCTTAAGTAACATTCTTTTTTCACCTACATGCTTCAACTTGTTTCTACTTCAAGTTCATTAGTTTCAACAAGCTGCCAAATGCAGAATCATAGTATCATTTACTTAGTGGCATCTCTGTAGACTACCCTTCACTTTTTTAGTTTAATATTCAGCCTCTGCCCAAGTCTTAGTACTACTCTGAGATTATATTTTCCATACTGGCTATGGTTTTAATAAAATTACTATCCATGATTTCTAGGACAAGATGTAATAACTACTTTTTTCTTTTTTTTTAAGACTAAAAACAATGATAGTTTATTAAAATTTACCAAAGTTTGGGATAAAATAATTTGGTTCATCTATGGTTAAACTATAGTCTAGTGTTCTAATATGCCATTCACATGTTCTCCTTAAAAACCATTTTTGTCAAGTTGCCAGTGGCTCATGCCTGTAATCCTAGCTACTCAAGAGATTGAGAGATGAGGATAGTAGTTAAAAGCCAATCCAGACAGGAAAGTCTGATCTCCAATTAACCACTTAAAAACCAGAGTGGTAGAGCTCTATCTTTGAGCTCAGGGACAGCACCTAGGCCCTGAGTTCAAGCCTCACAACAAAAGACAAATTAGGAGTTGGAGATATGGTTCAAGTGGTAGAGCATCAGCCAGTAAGCAAAAGCATCAGATACCAAGTTTGAATCTTGGTCATAGACTTAAAACTAATAAAACCATTCACAGTAATATTTCAGCATAAATTTTAATTTTTCAGTATTTTCACACATAAAATTGAAAAATTCCTCTCATTTTATTGAATTAGAAATTGTATTTTATAATTACAAAAGATTCAATATTAATTTACTATATCAAGCCAGTTCTCATTGTTATGAATACTCTTCTTCCAGGATTCACCAAAAGCCCAGCTACGCCGGACAATAGAATGTTGTCGGACCAATTTATGTAACCAATATTTGCAACCTACACTGCCTCCTGTTGTTATAGGTAGGTTAGCACATGCTTCTCTGCAAAATTTTCTGTTTTTAACAATAAAAAAGCTGCATAGAGTTCTAGGGCATTTGTTTTTTGTTGTTGTTGTTGTTGTTCTTTTTCTGCCTTTTAACAGGATATGATAGAAAGAGCCTGTGTTCATATGTTTTATGTCTTTCCACTATCAGGCCCATTCTTTGATGGCAGCGTCCGATGGCTGGTCGTGCTCATTTCTATGGCTGTCTGCATAATTGCTATGATCATCTTCTCCAGCTGCTTTTGTTACAAGTAAGATATCTGTGGGTTCTTCAAATTTCTCATTGTTATTATAAAGGTGATGCACAGAGGGGTTACAGTTACATAAGTCAAGTAGTGAGTACATTTCTTTTTGGATAATGTCACCCCTTCCCTTGGTCTCCCAGTTTTTCTTTCCCAACCCCACCCATAAGTTGTATATAGTTCATTTTCCACATGGTGTCCAGTGAATACCATTGCTGCAATTGTTCATCCTTTGCCCTTCTACTTTTGTGCCTCTCCTAACAATCCCAAACACATATAAGCAAACAAACAGAACAAAAAGGAAAGAAAACAAAAATAGCAAAAAAGAAAAAAATCTTGCTTTTATTTCCTGTACTTTATTTTGATAAATATTATTTTATATGATCAGATACACATAGGTATTGTGTCTTTCTGTTCCTCTCCTAAGAGTATTCACCTTTGGTCTCACTATTTGTGAATGCCTAGAGACCTGTATAATTTATTACATTCCTGTATCTTAGATTTAGCTTCCATATACAAGAGAAAGCATACATTGTTTGTCTTTCTGAGTTTGGCTTGTCTCACTTAACATGATTTGTTTTAGATCCATCTATTTCCCTGCAAATGAAATATTATTCTTCCTAATGGTAAAATTTCATTATGTATAGGTACCATATTTTTCAGATACACTCAAAATATTTTGTTCAATAAAGCCAGTTGGCAGAAAGCATTAACTGCTATGTACTGTTCAGAAATTGTTAATTTATATTCTCTAATTACATAGTTACTTAATTTAAATTAGTATATCCTTGAAGAGAAAAATTACCAATTAAATGGACACAATGTCATATTTCTTTTTTGGGGGGGGGTCCGGTTGTGGGGCCTGAACTCTGGGCCTGGGTGCTGTCCCTCAGCTCTTCAGCTCAAGGCTAGCGCTCTACCACTTGAGCCACAGCGCCACTTCCGGCTTTTTTCTTTTTGCTTATGTGGTGCTGAGAGGAATCAAACCCAGGGCCTCAGGCGTGCAAGGCAAGCGCTCTACCACTGAGCCAACTTCCCAGCCCACAATGTCATATTTCTATGTTCAAGAATACTTCTGATTTTCCCCCCTTATTTGTAGAGTGGTTAGTTTCTTAATGTCTGAATTTTTGTAGCTTGTCTCCAGAAACCAACTTGCTTATACTTTGGAGCTTCTAAAGTATTTGTACTTAATCGTAATACAGAAAGCAGTCATTAGAACAAAGACAGCCCCTGGTGAATATAAACTTCAATACTAATTGTCATAATGGGATAATATTAGATACCAGTGGAGCCATAAATAAAATCTAAGTACATGAAGAAATTTATTATATGGTAAAGGTAACATTTCAGATCACTGAGGAAATTCTTTTAAGGTAAATGGATTTTTGAGACTAGCTATATAGGATAAATGAATTTGGAAAAACTCTCTATACTGAAATAGATTAGAAACAGACAAAGTTATTCTTAGAGAGATCTGCAACCTGAAGAAAAGACCTAAAAATACTGCCATTAGGGTCCAGTAAAATAGCCTAGACAGACATCTTAAAACAAGACCTATAATTAATCAGCCCTACAAATACAGTAACAGCTGCCAGAGAGAACATCAGTGCTAAATACTGATTGTGAGAAACAGGAGCTGTAAGATTGCCAATGTTACTGCCTTCAAAGAGTTTGTCTGCCGGACACAGAAAGCACACAGTCATCCTCCAGCCTCTATAAGATCTTCCCTTATCCCTCAGTACATTTAAGATTTTCTCCTTTTATCACTGATTTTAAGCAATCCAATTATACCGTAATGTGTTTTCTTTGTTTGTTGTTTGGTAGTGAGGCTTGAACTCTGGCCTAGGACTGTCCCTGAGCTCTTCAGCTTAAAGCTAGCACTCTACCACTTGAGCCACAGGGCCACTTCTGGTTTTCTGGTGGTTAATTGGAGATAAGAGTCTCACAGACTTTCTTGGCTGGGCAGGCTTTGAATTGCGATCCTCAGATAGCAGCCTCCTGAATAGCTAGGATTATAGGCGTGAGCCACTGGCACCCGGCTTTTCTTTGTAATTTTTAATACTTAGAGAGTTTGGTAAGTTTTTTAGATATAGGGGTTCCTGATTTTCATTGAGTTTGGAAAATTTTTGGTCTTCCCTCCCCCATCCACCTTGCTGGGGCTTGAACTCGGGGCCCTGAACTCTTTCTGGGTCTTTTCCTCTCAAAACTGGTACTCTGCCACTTGTGCCAGAGCTATACACCTCCAGTTCCAGCTTTTATCTGATTATTTGGAGATAGTGATTCTTGGATTTGTCTGCCCAGGCTGGCTTTGAACCAAAACCCTCAGATCTCAGCCTCCTGAAAAGCTAGGATTATAGATAGCATGAGTTCCTGCTGCCCAGCGGTGCTGAACAATTTCTGGTTGGTGCTGAGTAGCAGTTTCCTGCCCTTCCCTAGAAGTAGGTTACTTCTTGTGGCAGGGTCTTATGTCCACAAGACTTTGATACCTTCCTGTCCCCTTCTTCCTTCTCCAGAACAGACAGCATTGCTAACACATTCCCCCTGAAGCAGAGAAATTTCAGTTCTGTTCCCTCAGAAGTGATAGTTCGTTGCCTGGAAGAAGTTATACAGGAAAAATAAATCATTGTGTGTAATGAGGCCATATGTTAATATATATACAGTCATCATAATGTAAATAGGGACGTTGATCTAAATAAATGATATGTTACAGCTGGGTTGGGACAGTTCAAGGATATAATTGTTTGTTCTTTAGGAAAGCATACAAGAGTGTTAAATGAGTTATATATTCATTTTCCAAAGTGTGAGGTCAATGGTTAAGAGCCCAAGATTGGAAAGACTGAAAGTACCAATGCAAAAATGTTACTTAGAAATGATGAGGCCAGAAGTAAAGAATTAAACCTCAAGAAGCTAATTTTTGTCAGGTATAATAATAATGCATACTTAAAATCCCAGCACTGGGGAGGATGAGACAGGAGGACCAGGAGTTTTAAGTCTAGCCCTGGTTATAGAAGAGATTACCCTCCCAACTCCCTATCCCCAACCCCAAAAAAGAAAGCTTAATGCAGTGGCTTAAGCCTATAATCCTAGTTGCTTGGGAGGCAGAGATGAAGAGATTACAGTTTAAAGCCAGATGGGCAAAAAATTCAAGAAAGTCATGTGACTGGGCACAGTGGCACGCAGATGTCATTGTTGTCCACATCATCTCAGAGAAGAATAAGTAGGATCACAGCCCAAAGCAGTCCAAACATGGATACAAGATTATAGCAGTAGAAAAAGTGTCTAGAGGCATGAGTCAAGTGGTAGAGTGCCTGCCTAGCAAGTTTGATCCCCTGAGTTCAATCACCAGAAACAAAAAGAAATGTGTGGTTCTGAAATAGGTAGAAGGAAAGAAGACAGGAGTGATGTTTTGTTGCTAAGCTAACAACAACTATGCGATATTTAAAATTAGAAGCTGGTGTCGGTGTGTCATACCTGTAATCCTAGCTACCCGGGAGGCTAAGATCTGAGGATCGCAGTTCAAAGCTATCCAGGGCAGGAAAGTCCATGAGACTCTTATCTCCAATAAACTACTCAGAAAAAGCTGGAAGTGGGGCTGTGGTTCAAGTGGTAGAGTGCTAACCTTGTGCACAAAGAGGCTCAGGGACAGCATCCAAAGCTCTTGAGTTCAAGCCCCAGGACCAGCAAAATATAAGATAAATGTAGATGAACAAAGAACTCTGATAAATATTAAATACTAAGTTTTATAAACAAAATTTGATAAGTATTGAAATGAACTTCTGGATAAAGGCATAGGACGAAATGAAAACTTATATGATAGTAGAAGGCTTGTACCTGGGACAGCCTTTAAGGAAGCCAGTGGAGCGTTTCATAGAATTCCAGATTCAGCTCTAACTTCCAGAAAGTAATACCAGAGAAATGTTCCATTTCACATTTGGATGTAATGAGATAGAAACAATCTACCTGGAGAGTAGTAGACAGCCACACAGTAGATTGCTGTATAAAATTCTAGGTGCATTGCTAAGTGAAAAGCAGTGTGGTCTGGGAGTGTAGCTTAGTGGTAGAGTGCTTACCTAGCATGAAAACCTGGGTTTGATTCCTTAGTACCACATACACAGAAAATGCCAGAAGGGGCGCTGTGGCTCAAGTGGTAGGGTTCTAGCCTTGAGCAAAAGAAGCTCAGAGACAGAGCTCAGAGATCAAGCTCCACTACTGGCAAAAGAAAAAAAAAGAGAAAAAGCAATGTGCAGGGCAGTGCATACCGTATACAGCCACTTCTGGAAGAAAGAGTAAAGCAGAGGAAGTTACCAACAGTATGCATTGTTCTGTTTGAATATGCATAATTTATAGTCACTAGGTTACTCAGGAATGAGAAATATTTCCATTTCTTCAGAAAAAAAAGGGAAATAGTTGCTTTCCAAAGAAGTGATTTGATGACTTAGAGATGGGTGTGAGAGGAAGATTTTTCACTGTACAGCCTTTTGTGCCTTTGAATTTCAAGCCATTTGAGTCAATTTCCTATGTATTTTTTTTCTTTATGATTATTTGTTTAGAGACACGTAAATAAAGTTACACTATATAACCCAGGTTGGCCAGGTCCTGTGATCTTTCTGCTTTACTTAGCCTCCTGAATGCTTGGCTTACAGGTGTGCCCAATCATACCAGGCAAGTCTATGTAAAGTTTTAAAAATGAAAATAAAACTGTAAATATGGAAGTGGAGCTGTGGCTCAAGTGGTAGAATACCAGTCTTGAGTGAAAAAGCTAAGGGACTACACGTACCAAGCTGTGAGTTGAAGCCCCATTACTGGTGCATGCATGCACACACACAACATGCACAGAACCATGTAAATATGGCTACCTAATATTGGAAACAAATCTATTTTGGTTTGTTCTCTCATTTCCATTGCATGATACAAATTCCAAATAGATTAAGGACTAAATGAGAAAATCAAAAAATTTAAACATTGAGAGAATGATTTATTACATTAGAGTTAGAAAGATTGAAATGAGATCAGTCACTTTACTACATTAAAATTAAAAATTGACATAAAACACCATAAACTGGAAAGTCATCATAATCACAGACTGAGAGAACATTATGGTAACATACAAGTATTAGAGACTAAGTTGGTTAATGTCCAGGTTATATAAAGGAGTCTTGTGAACCAATAGAAGAAAATATGAAACCTTAATTGAGTAGGCCGTTGAGGGAAAGAAACTGAGAAGGAAAATAATTCAGACTCATTAATAATTAGAGGAAAGATAATTAAATCATACTCATCCAGACTGGCAAAAGTCCAAAAATATGACACTTCAAGGTTTAGGGAAAGAGGAAATAGATATTGTGATGTTTTTCTTTTGGTAGGAGTATAATTTTACTTTGGAAAGCAGCTTGGTGTAGTATGTATAAAATTGGATTTGTGTATGTCATCAGGAAAATTACACATCAGCACCTAAGGGAAGAGCACAGAAATGTTTATTAAAACACCAATTACATTAGTAAACTTTGAGGAATAAATGTGGTCTCAGGCCAAGTCATGGCAAATTCTTTCCCTTTTCAAAATGAAATATATTTTTTTAATTTATTTTTTTATTTTTATTTATTTTTAATTGTGAAAATACTGTACAGAGGAGTTACAATTACATGGGCAAGATAATGAGTACATTTCTTATCAAGCATTGTAGCCTCCTCCTTTGTTTCCCCTTCCCATCCCATCCTCCCCCCCCCCCACCAAAGTTGTAAAGTTCATTTTAGACATAACGACTTGTACATCTCATTGTTGCAATGGGTCCACCAGTATCCCTATTTAAACGATTTGTTTTTTTCCCCTTCCCCTCCATAAATTATAACAACATCAAATACAGTGAAAGCAGGGGTTATACTATGGGGGAGGGACATACAAAGCAACGAAGAACTAAGCTTATAAACGTGTTAGAAACAATCGCATGAAAAAAACATTTGAATACATATCTTAGGGTTCATTTCCCTAACTTCAACTTATCTGACCTTTTCTGCTTGACTCAGACATATACTAGTTCTTGCAAATAAGGGAAACCATGGGGCCTATGTTTCTTTGGGCCTGGCTGAAATATATTTTTGTCATTTAACTTAAAAATGCAGTTAGAATCATAAATGGGTAAATATGAAGTTGAAAGCAAATACACTGCCTATCCTTTCTCATCTTTTTAAATTTTGACATGACAGAATTTTAAAATTAAGTACTTTTTACAGGTGGGATGCCACTTACATGTTTTTGTTTTGTTTTTAAGACAAGCTCTAGCTAGCTCTGGTTATCCTTAAATTGAAGATCTTTCTGTGTCTCTCAGTTCTGGCATTATAGATATACATCACCATGCCTAGCTTTTTTTCAGTTTTTTTTTTTTTAATCAACCAGTGCTCTGTAGACATCTCTCCATTTTTACAACACAGCGTTTTGCTTTCTAAACTCCCATTTCTAGGCATACTGTAACAGCCTATTTTCCTGTGACAAGACAGCTTTGGATATGATTCTATCTGAAGGAAGGTGATGGTATTGAGGACCAGTTTTTCTTAGCTCAAAATTTTATAGTTTTCCAATGTTAATACAGATTTTTCTGCTTTATTTGAAAGACATTATTGCAAGACCATTTCAAGCAGACGTCGTTATAATCGTGATTTGGAACAGGATGAAGCATTTATACCAGTAGGAGAATCATTAAAAGACCTTATTGACCAGTCACAAAGCTCTGGTAGTGGATCGGGACTACCTTTATTGGTAAGTTATAAAGATAAGACATGTGAACTTATGTGTGTGTGTGTGTGTGTGTGTATGTATACAAATATACACACATATATATATATAGATATACACATATGAGACAAATAAGAGCCATAGTAAGAAAGAAATGTGATTGAAGGTTGGCTTTTGTATTTTTGAAACAGGGTCTTATACCTTTCCCTAGGCTGGCCTCAAATTCATGATCTTCCTGCTCCACACCCTGATTAGATTGAATTAAAAATATGTGGGCTGGGGAGCTGGGAAGGTAGCTTAGTGGTAGAGCACTTGCCTTCTATGTATGAGGCCCTGGGTTCGATTCCTTAGCACCACATAAGCAGAAAAAGCTGGAAGTGGCGCTGTAGCTCAAGTGGTAGTGCTTGCCTGTGGTGCTGTGGCTCAAGTGGTAGAGTGCTAGGGATGGTTTCTAGGCCCAGAGTTCAATCTCTAGGACGTACAAAAAAAAAAAAAAAATAGATACAAGATAATCATATAGAATGAAATCTGTAGTCGAGTTGGAAAGATAAACTACCTTCATATGCAGACAATGATTATTTACATAGGAAATCCCAACAATGATAAAATAAGGTTTCTACAACTAGTAAGTTATCAGGTTATAGAATATGAAGTCATTGTATAAATATTATTGAATTAATTTATACTAGCAACAAATAATTGTGAAATGAAAATTAAGAAATTTATTAAATGTAAGACTTTCACAGTGAAAATTATAAAATGAAGATCTAAATGAGTATTAATATATCTTCAATTTATGAATCAGAGGACTCTATTTAAAGTATTAAGATTGTACTCTGTATTAAGATGTTGATGTTCAGGTTGGGCATAGTTGCTCATGTTTGTAATCCCAGCTACTTGGGAAGTAAAGATAAGAGAATCCTGGTTCAAGCTCATCTCAGGCAAAAAATTAGCAAGACCCTGTTTCAAATAAACCAAGTGGGGCCAGGCACACTGGTGGCCCATGTCTATAATCCTATCTATTTTATAGCTCTAGGCCACATGATTCTGTGAGTCTGCTAGGAACTGTGTTTGCTAGACTTGCTCAGGTAGAACTAGGCAATACAATTTATAAATAATATTAGCAGTTCACATGGTACTCTGTTGGAGTCAGAAAGAAAGGGCAAGCCTGGATGCATAAACATTGTCAAATCTTCGCTTGCAGCACATTTGCTCTCTGTTGCCCAAAGCCTGAGTTTGTGAGGAAGGAAACTACCCAAAGATGACTGTGTTGTGGTTTGTAGTTTGCTCTACTGTGTATGATTTCAGAATACATGGTACATTATTTCTTTTAAATATCTTATACATTTTAATGCTGGAGTTGGTTGATTGGTTATACCAAGATTTTTGATGGAATGGCTTATCGTATCTCTTACTAGATTCTATTTATCAAGATTCAAAACTTTTTACTTTTTTCTGTAAAGGTTCAACGTACTATTGCCAAACAAATTCAGATGGTTCGACAAGTTGGTAAAGGCCGATATGGAGAAGTGTGGATGGGAAAATGGCGTGGTGAAAAAGTGGCAGTCAAAGTATTTTTTACCACTGAAGAAGCTAGCTGGTTTCGAGAAACAGAAATCTATCAAACAGTGCTCATGCGCCATGAAAATATACTTGGTGAGTACTCAGTCTGCTCTGTATTCTGACAGGGTTAAAGCTGCAGGTGGAAACCTGCATAATGTATCCACATGAATTCAACTTCATATGTTTGGCTATCAGAAATTCATTAAAACTATACTCAGGCCCTTCATTTATTTACTGCCTACCTGAAGAAATAGCAGTGCATTTCAAATGGACAATAAATGTTATTTCAGTAGACTTACTCATATAGTAGTGTGGAAACCAAGTCTTTATAGAAATAAGGTGTTTCTGGGGTATCTGTGGCTATATGTTCTTATATTTACTTTTACCTTTCTTTAGCTTAACAAGCCAACATGCAGCTTCATCATATGTTCTGTACTTAGCATGTGTTCTGCTTCCCATCTCATTCACACAATATGAAGTAATTTAAGCATTATCTGATCAGCAGGGTCTATAGCTTTTTTGAGTTTTCTTTTCAGCAACTGTTTTACTGATTTGAAGAGTACATAGCTTGTTGCCAGGCATAAAACAGGCACTTAACTTGGTTTTCTATTTGTAATATAACAAATTACCATGAACTAGAAGGCTGAAAACAACAGAAGTGTATTTATTGCTTTGTAGCTCTAGAGAGGCTGGAAATTGGAAATCAAGCTGTTCTCAGGGCCATGCTCTCTCTCATGCTCTCTCGGTGGGCATCCTTTCTTGCCCTTTGGTGTTCTCTGGCCTTTAGACAGCACTCCAATCTCTTTTCTGTTGTCCCCATGGCCTTTTTTTAATTCATTTTTTTATTGTGAAAATACCGTACCAGAGGGGTTACAATAACATGAGCAAGGTAATGAGTACATTTCTTTTTTTTTTTTATTGTGAAAATACTGTACAGAGGAGTTACAATTACATGGGCAAGATAATGAGTATATTTCTTATCAAATATTGTTGCCTCCTCCTTTATTTCCCCTTACAATCCCTGACCTCCCATTTCCCCCACCCCCCACCTCTTGTCCCCCACCCCGTCCTCCCCCGCCAAAGTTGTACAGTTCGTTTTTAGACATAATGTCTTGTACATCTCATCATTGCAATGAGTCCGCCTGTATCCCTATTTAAACAATTTGTTTTTTCCCTTCCCCTCCCCAAATTATACCAACATCAAAAACAGTGAAAACAGGGGTTATACCAAGAAAGAAAAACCATTTGAGTCCTTATCTTGGGATTCATTTCGCCTAACATCAACTTATCTGACCGTTTCTGCTTGTCTCAGACATACACTAGTTATTGCAAATAAGGGAAACCATGGGACCTATGTTTCTTTGAGCCTGGCTTATTTCAATTAGCATAATTTTTTCCAAGTCTTTCCATTTCCTAACAAATGGGGCAATGTCATTCTTTCTGATGAAGGCATAGAATTCCATTGTGTGTATATACCACATTTTCTTGATCCATTCATCTACTGAGGAGCATCTGGGTTGGTTCCATATCTTAGCTATGGTAAATAATGCTGCAATAAACATAGTTGTGCTGGTAGCTTTAGTATGGTCTTGTTTATGATTGTTTGGGTAAATGCCCAAAAGTGGGATTGCTGGGTCATAGGGGAGACCTATGTGGAGTCTTTTGAGGAACCTCCATACTACTTTCCAAAGTGGTTGAACAGGTTTACCCTCCCACCAACAATGCAATAGGATTCCCTTCTGTCCACATCCCCTCCAGCATCTGTTGTTATTAGAGTTCTTGATTATAGCCATTCTAACTGGGGTGAGGTGGTATCTCAATGTTGTTTTGATTTGCATTTCTTTTATGGCTAGGGCGGATGAGCATTTCTTCATGTGTCTGTTGCCCATGGCCTTCTTTCCTATATGTCTACAATCGTATTTCTATCTTAGTCCTACCCTAATCCACCATGACCTCATCTTAATGTGATTCCATCTATACAGACCCTGTTCCTAAATAAGGTTACATTTATAAGTTCCCGGTAGACAAGATTGCAGGGGAGGGGTATGACACTATTCAACCCAGAATAGCTCCCGTGACCACTTTGTTAAGGAAAAGAGGAAGAGAGAAGGTGAAGATAAGTGAAGGATATGGGTATGGCAACATTGTGGCCATTGTGTAAACAAGGCAGCTATGGGATGGTGCGTTATGGGTAAATTAGGAGATTTTGCCAAGCAAATTAAGTTAGCTGCATATAATACACATAATACCTAAATTGTTCTTAGTATTCTGAATAAGCATTTATAACTATTCAGGGTGATCTCTGATAGCTAACTTTTTTAACATAACTGAACAGGTTTTATAGCAGCAGACATTAAAGGCACAGGTTCCTGGACTCAACTTTATTTGATTACTGATTACCATGAAAATGGATCTCTCTACGACTTTCTGAAGTGTGCCACACTAGATACCAGAGCCCTGCTCAAGTTGGCTTATTCAGCTGCCTGCGGTCTGTGCCACCTCCATACAGAAATATATGGCACTCAAGGAAAGCCTGCAATTGCTCATCGAGACCTAAAGAGCAAAAACATCCTTATCAAGAAAAATGGAAGTTGTTGCATTGCTGACCTGGGCCTTGCTGTTAAATTCAACAGGTACATCATGATTCTTTGCCCACTGTTTTAAAATTATTTTAATCTCTAAAAGATATTTGTTTATTTTCATTCATTAAGATAGGGGGTGGAAAGGTTTCTTTAAAAAAAACTATTCTGTCATACTTCTTTATTTTCTTTTTGATTCTTGGGGATTGAATTTGAGGCCTGCACTATGCAAGCATACAGTCTTTCTACTGAACGACATCCTCAGCCTATACACAGTTCTTGATTTCCTGCTGTAGAATTCCTCCTACTTCAGTTTGTATACAGCTACTTCATCCTTTTTACGGGTACAGTTTTTATGAAATAGAAGTTTTTCCATATTACAAAACATTAAAGTTGTTTGAAGCTTGTATTTCTTAAAAAGAGAAGACATTGTTGTATTTTACCCACATATATCCTTGAGGATTTCTGCAAGTGTTTCTTGATGATGGACTTCTATAGAAGAGGGGCTACTAAAATTTTGCATAGCCGGGCACCAGTGGCTCACACTTATAATCCTAGCTACTCAGGAGGCTCAAATCTGAGGATGGCAGTTCAAAGCCAGCCTGGGCAGGAAAGTCCATGAGACTCTGATCTCCAGTTAACCACCAGAAAACTGGAAGTGGTGCTGTGACTCAAAGTGGTAGAGCACTAGCTTTGAGCTAAAGAGCTCAGGGACAGTGCCCAGGCCCGGAGTTTAAGCCCCATGACCAACCTCCCTCTCCCCCCCCAAAAAAATAGTTGTTTTTTTTCATATACTTAATTGTGGCATACTGTGTATTATCCCTTCAGAAAGGGTTTCAGTTTATACCCATAAATATATGGAGATAAGTATGCTGTTTTTTATTACTACTTGGTATATCATTGTTAATTTTTTAAAATGAGAATTACAAAGTTTTAGGAACTGTTGAAGCCCTATATAACAAAAATACATTTGTTATTTCAGAATTCATTTTAGACCATAAAATTACTAATGAATAAAACTATAATCACCATCTAAATCTTTCTCCCTAATTAGTATTCTAAGTTGATTTAGGTATAAGTAGCATATGTTAGAATAAATGCCCCCTAGATGCTATTTTCAAAAATACAAGATATTATATTGAACTCTGCTTGAAGATAATTTCCAGAACCTACCAGGCCTCAAGGCACAAGCAACAAAGTATTCATGTATTTAACTCTAAAATTCAGCCCAAAACTTGTAAAACTGATCAGCAATTTATTAACATCAAGATGTGTATGAAAACATTGCTAACATAACTAAATTCATAGGACCCATGAAGGAAAAAATGTAATCCAGTCTCTTGAAGGCTGAGACTAACCTGTGAGAATGGAAAAGAAAATTATTCCTCTTTATTTTCATGTTCACTTCTTACATATAGTTATCTACCCTCTCTTAAAGAGGCCCCAAACTCAATGGCAAAAACTGACTTGAACAGTGAACACAGATACCTTGTATAAGTAAGGTGTTTATTGTCTTAATGGCTTCGGTGTGAAGTCATTAGTGTTTACTGCAGACAGAGCACTAAGGTTAAGATACTGCAGTAACCCCCACTAGGGTATTAAGTATATAGTACATATTGAAAGGATATATGATTTTCTACTCTAAAGATGCTAAATTTCATAATATATCTGGCCCCAATGATTTCTGACAGGGAAGGTGAAATGAATACGTATTTAGGCAGAAATTTTGATATATTTGAGAAAAATAGGAAAACTACTTTTTTCTTGACTTTGAGCCTGTGCATTGTCTTCCTTCTGTTGCAGTGATACAAATGAAGTTGATGTACCCTTGAATACCAGAGTTGGCACTAAACGCTACATGGCTCCTGAAGTGCTAGATGAAAGCCTAAATAAAAACCATTTCCAGCCCTACATAATGGCAGACATCTATAGCTTTGGCCTAATCATTTGGGAAATGGCTCGTCGTTGTATCACAGGAGGTAAGAGTTTGAGTATTATTTTCAGGGTTCTCCCCTCCCCCCCCCACAGTTGTGGGATCTGAACTCTGGGCCTGGGTACTGTCCCTCAGTTCTTCAGCTCAAGGCTAGTGCTCTACCACTTTGAGCCACAGGGCCACTTCCGGCTTTTTCTACTTATGTGGTGCTGAGGAATTGAACCCAGGGCCTCATGCATGCAAGGCAAGCACTCTACCACTGAGCCACCTTCCTAGCCCTATTTTCAGGTTTTATATGTATGTTTTGTCTAAAAAATAAAAATTTCATGGCCAGGCATGGTGTCATATGTCTATAATCTCAACTACTTGGGGGTGGACATCAGGAAGATCACAGTTTAAGGCCATCTTGAGCAAAAAGTTAGTGAGACCTTGTCTCAAACATCAAGCTGGAAATGTGTGATTCACATGCGTAATCCCAGCCAGAGAGCAAAAATCAGGAATAACTGTCTAAAAACAATGCTAAAAGGAGATAAGGATATGGCTTAAGTGGTAGAACACCTGCCTCGTGAGGCCTTGAGTTTAGTATTACCTTCCCCCACAAAGGTCCATTTATGTTATTTAGATGTTTTGTATGTTGGGTCCACAAGCTTATTTTCGAGTCCTTTGGTAGCACTCATAGAACTCATGTAATCATCCTCACTGCTCAGATTTATTATAGTATAAGGATGAAAGTCAGAGTCAGCTAAGGTGCCTGCAGCAAAATTCAGAGAAAACCAAGACACTCTTCTGAAAGTCCTCTCCCAGGGGAGCCTCTCAGGTTGAGATTCATTCTTCCCTCAATGAAGTGTGACATATGTGAAGTGTTGCCATACAGAGCTCAGTAGAGACCCTGCCAGCACATGTGTGTGTAGAGACCTGCCAGCGTGTGTGTGTGTGTGTGTGTGTGTGTCCTGGGGTTTGAACTCAGGCCTTGAGCTTGTTTGGCTCAAGACTACCCCTCTTTGAGCCACAGCTCCACGTCTAGCTTTTTGGGAGTTAATTGGAGCTAAAGAGTTTCATGGATTTTTCTGCCCAGCCTGACTTTGAACCTTGATCCTCAGATCTCAGCCTTCTGAGTAGCAAAGGATTATAGGTGTGAACCACTGACCCCCAGCTTTTTGTTTTTCCCCCCTACTTTTTAATTTTAAAAAAGAAAAGCAACATTTCATGAGTTTGCATGTGATCCTTGCTTGGAGCCATTGCTAGTCTTCTTTGCATCAATCAGTTTTAGTATATGTGCTGCTGAGGGGAAACTTTTGTTTTGGGAGTTCAAATTCAGGGCCTCACGCTTACTAGGCTGCTCCTCTGCCACTTGAGCCATGCTCTTGAACCCTTTTTTGCTTTAGTTATTTTTCAGAGAGAGTCTGACATTTTTCCCAGGTCTGCTCAGACTGGGATGCTCCTCTCTCCAGCCTGCTGGCTACTTGGGATCACAGGCACATACCACCACACCCAGCTTATGGGTTGAAACTGACTTTCACTTTATTCCTGGGCTGACCTTGAATATGATCCTCCTGAAGGCTGCCTCCCAGGATGACATGTGTAAACACTTGAGATTATAACATGAGCCATCACACCCACATCCTCTTTTCCTTTTTTTTTTTTTTTTTTTGGGTCCGGTCATGGGGCCTGAACTCTGGGCCTGGGTGCTTTCCCTCAGCTCTTCAGCTCAAGGCTAGCGCTCTACCACTTGAGCCCAGCACCACTTCTAGCTTTTTCTGCTTATGTGGTGCTGAGGAATCGAACCCAGGGCCTCAGGCATGCAAGGCAAGCGCTCTACCACTGAGCCAACTTCCCAGCCCCCTCTTTTCCTTCTTTATGGAGGGATCTGTTGCAGTTCTGTAACTCAGTGAGAGATCCCGCATTTTGTTTGCCATGTTTGTGCTTATCATGTTTTCTCATTCCCTGCAGGGATAGTGGAAGAGTACCAGTTGCCATACTACAACATGGTGCCCAGTGACCCTTCCTATGAAGACATGCGTGAGGTTGTCTGTGTCAAACGTTTGCGGCCAATTGTGTCTAACCGATGGAACAGTGATGAAGTAAGTGGAGCTGAACCCCTGTAACAAGTGATTAGCGAATGTTACCACAGGTATACCCTCTTCTCATTCACATTCTCTTTGCTTTTCAGTGTCTACGAGCAGTGTTGAAGCTAATGTCAGAATGCTGGGCCCACAATCCAGCCTCCAGACTTACAGCACTGAGAATCAAGAAGACACTTGCCAAGATGGTTGAGTCCCAAGATGTAAAGATTTGACAGTGAAATAGTCATGAGGAGGAATTCTAGACTGCCAGATCCTCTGGCACCAAAGGAATGGAGGAATTAGCATGGACCAAGGATGGTCCTTGGTTCTCAGACTCCTCACTACACCTTCACAGGCTGCTAACAAACTTCTCAGTACTCTGTAGAAGACAAGCTGGGAACTTCTAAACACTTCATTCTTTATATGTGGACAGCTTTATTTTAAATATAGTTACTGATGCCTTTTTTTTAAATTGGGTTTTATGAACTACATCAAGACCGCAATCCTGATTATAAGTCTCCAGTCAAACTTTGGGTACTGAATTGCCTGTTCATAGAATGGTGCTTTCTGTGAAAGCCTTAGGAGATAAATGAAAATGAGTTGAGCAGAGTGAAGAAATACACACTTTTGCCTTCTGCCTAAGAAAATGTAATGTTTGTGTTCTAACTTTGTAAAATAGCCTCTGGATTATCTCTCTAGGATACAGCTTACTAATGTTAGTCCGCCATGCCTTCTTTCTAATGGACTGCCTGCAAGTGCACGTCAGGACCCTCTGTTGCCATTGGAATTAGAAGAAAATTATTTATGAATGCACAGAAAGATATTGGTGGCCAATGGTTTTGTGCTTTAAAAAATGCAATATCTGACCAAGGTTCATCAATCTGTTAAAAGCCATACCTCACCTTGAAAACGAGGTAGCTTCTCCACCAAGTTTATTTTTAACATACTTGTTGTTATAAGGCCAAAAGAAGTCAGAAGTATCCGTAAATGTGGATTGTTTTCTTTCTACCACCATCTGTTTTTTAAATTGTTATTTTTACCATGGAAAGCCTCCTATCCAAAGTTGGAGCTTCCTATGCCATGAACCATGCTTGTAAAGAAAATACTTCTTACTGAAGTAAATTACCATATTGGGTAGCAATGTAAGTGCCTATATTTCTCCTGCATTCTGTATGCTCAGTAACTTTTAAAAGGGAAGTTATTTATATTTTGTGTGTAATGTGCTTTACTTGCAAATATCCTCTCCTTTACAACCATATTTTATATATGTACATAGATTCATATGAATATTAATATATTCATATGTACATTCATCCTATAGAACCAGCTCATATGTACCTCACATCCCATCCTTAGGGGAAAAAATTGTTTGAAAGTAGAACTACATAATGAGTTTTCAGAATCCATATATATTCAAAGTAATACATCAAATCTAGGACTTTTCTAATTTTAGGCAAAAACTTTGTTAAGATAATACCATCTCAGTTTTTCTTTATGAAAGGATTCTATAATTATAAATTTATCAGAGCTGATATAAATTTATCAATGACTGTTAATGTGTTTTAGACATCTAAATCATTTGAGATCTTTGGGTTTATGATTTCTGGTTCTAACTTGTAAAGACTGTGAGGAGTCGAGCAGTATCTGTATCTACAACTAATAGTTGTCTCTATAGCTGTATCTAGTCAGTATCTGTACAACTGTATATAGCTATTATTCAATCAAATTATACATATTTTACAGAAGACTTTTTATCTCTTTAAGAACAGTTCTGATTTACTTAACCATAGTACACTCCTGTCATGCTTTTTAAATACTATAGCTATGCTGAGCACACAAGTCATGAGAACTTCAAGTGAGACAGTTTCCTTTCATAAAACATGAAGTCAATGTGACTGCATCACCATACAGCCAAAAAAGTTTAAATTAAGTGGGAAGAAATCAGAGCATATATTCATCTAGCACCAAAAACATGACTGCCAATTGAGGCTGAAACTTAGCTTACTCTCTACACATCTTATTTCACAAATTTGAGTTCTTCAGCTGTTTTCCTAAGTTTTCATTAACATAATAATTAGAGTGTCAGGTATTCATAAAGAGCAGCATATTTGTCTATTGGTAATACTCAACTTGCTTTTTTCAGAATATGTTCCCCACCTGCTTCCTGAGAAAGACAGATAAGTTCATAAGAATTGCTGTGATTTGAGAACACTTAGAAAATATGGCATACTGAGTCTAAGTTAACTTTGATGTGTTTTTGACTTGTCAAAATATAAATCTTTAAAATTACTTGTCATCATCCATAGGAAAGGCAAAATTTTTTTAGAAATATTTTTAATGGTGTGTTGAGGCAAAAATGGACAGTTATGTGAGGCTACTGTAATGATTTTAAAATTAACTTGGTCTTAGTGCTGTCAATAATCTTAGAAACTTGATTAGTAAAAACATTTTACAGAATAATGTGTTCTTTAAAAGAAGCAGCTGCTACTTCATCTGGAATCCTAAAATATAAAGAAGGTATCTAAAACTATCCCCCCCCAATCTTCTCTTATGTTTGACAATTCATCCAGTAAGTCAAATATAGACAGAATATGTGACACCAGTAAGAGGAAGTATCTATCATGTACTTCCTTAGTTCCTAATCTTGGAATCTATGATTTGGTCCCATATACAATGTAGTGTTTTTAAAGTTTGTGGTGTCAAGCCAGGAACTGCTTAGGAGGCTGAGATCTGAGGATCATGGTTCAAAGCCATCCTGAGCAGGAAAGTCCATGAGACTTTTATCTCCAATTAACTACCAAAAAGCAAGAAGGGGAATTGTGACTTGGGTAGAACTTAGCCTTGAGCAAAAAAGTTCAGGGACAGCACTCATTTCAAGCCCCAGGACTAAAAAAAGCCTATGGTTTCATTCAGTCTCTTTAAATATTTAATGTATGAAAACAAACCAGCAAAAATACCCTGAATAGAAACAGTAAAATTCTCAAAGAAATTTCTCATTGCATTTGTTTGCACTGTTAAGTAATTTTGTAGGGCATATTTAGATTTGCTTCAGTGATCACTCTAAGCTTTAATTCATTATGACTTCATTTCTGAATTTCTCTGGAAGTACTTTTACAAAAGCTTTTTTCATCAGCATTTTATGTTGCCTTTCCAATGTCTAGAAGTGTTTGTAAACCTAGAAAGTGACCTTTTTGTTTTCATAAACTGTTGTGTTAAAATGTGCCAGATTTTTTATTTATTCACTCTGACAATATTCAAGAATTTTTTCCCAATGTTGTTTTGTTTTCTGTTAAGAACCAAAATGCAACACAGATTTTTAAAAATCTCCAAATTGACCCAGGATCAAATTTGACACGATTTATTCCAGGGCAGATTATTTTTTAAAACTACAGTGCATTGCATTTTATTTTGAATTGTTTCTGACTAACCAAGTTTCAACAGAATATTCACTAGGGTAACATAACATAGGGACTCATCTTCCTGCTTCCATGTAGAAGACATGGGACTCGTGTTCATAAGAACCAATCTTAAGTCCTGGACAGCGTAGGAACGAACCCACATGTGATAATCATCCCACAAGGAAAGTGTGAATACAGCTTTTGCAAAAGATTAAACATTAATGCAATTTTAGATTGTGCTCTGAACTCTGCTTTCCATGAAGTTATTTAAGCCCTCCTATAATCTTTGTCCTTCCCACTTAAAAATTAAAATGTAGTATATATTGTATAAAATGGAAGTATTATAGCTTACTTAGAAAAACTGTATATAGGAATTGACAAAAGGGTAAAAACAACAGTTTCATTATGCAATTGTAAAACACCAAAACTAGAGATTGGTCTTTGATATGTAACACACTAAATGTATTTTGTATAGCATCTGGTTTAAAAGGTGCCTTATTAAGTTTACCATTAATTGCTTTGTTCTATATACAGATTATGTCCAATGTATCATTTTTAAGTAAATAACCTTATTTTAGTATACTTTAGTGATGTGTTTTGTGGTATTGTTCTTAAGTTGTATATCAGTAGTCATCAGTTGAGATTTGTGTATGTGCATGTTATGTGTGTGTTTATAGTTGGGCTTGAACTCAGGTCCTCACACTCTCACCTTTTTTTTTTCTTTTTTGTGCCTGTCCTGGGACTTTAACTCAGGGCCTGGCCAGTGTCCTAAGCCTCTTTGTGCTCAAGGCTAGTGCTTTACCACTTGAGCCCCATCACTACTTCCTGCTTTTTCTGAGTAGTTTATTGGAGATTAGGGTCTCATGGACTTTGTTGCCTGCACTGGCTTCAAACCACAATCCTCAATCTCAACCTCCTGAGTAGCTAGGATTATAGGTGTGCCACTGACATTCTGCTTCATTGTCTTTTTTTTTTGAAGGCTGGTACTCTTCCAGTCGAACTGAACCATACCTCCACCTCTGGGTTTTTGCTGGTTAGTTGAAGATAAGAGTCTCACAGATGTTTCTGCCTAGGCTAGCTTCAAACTATGATCAGCAGATCTCAGCCTTCTAGTAGGTGAGATCACCTAGTTGTGTGAGCTACCAGCGCTCAGCTATTGATTGCAATTTTGTAACAAGGAAGTTAGTGCACATACATGAGGTGTGTATGACACTGACCAGAAAACCAGCCTGGAGCACGTTGACCCATTTTCTTTTCTGTCTGTTCAAGAACCAAACCTACTATAATAAAGGTTTGGGGTTTTTTTTTCCTTTATTAAAAAAAAAATGACCAGGCACTGGTAGCTTATGTCTGTTATCCTAGCTACTCAAGAGGCTGAGATCTGAGGATTGTGATTCAAGGCCAGCCTGGGCAAGAAAGTCCATGAAACTGTTATCCAAAAGCCAGAAGTGGAGTTTTCAAGCTGGAGAACACTAACTTTGATCAGAGTGTGTACTTGTTATGCGTAAACCCACGCACATGTGATTTTCATATCACACACACGCACACAAATAACAGCCTGGTGGCTCCTGTCTGTAATCCAAGCATTTGGGAGACTGAGGCAGGAGGATAGAAAGTTCGAGGGCCACCTAGGCTACATAGCAAAAGCCTAAAAAAAACAAAATAGTAACAAACAGTGGAAGTAACTGAAGTATCGAAAAGGACATCTGTCTTTAGCAATGTATGTGGTAGATTATAAAGCACTTGAGAAAAGTTTCATTTTTAGTCAGGCATGGTGGTGTGCACCTGTAATTCTAGCTACTTAGGAGGTTGAAGGAGATAGGCCACTAGATTACTGTATTTCCAGCCCCTTGATGGTTAGAAAATATAAATGGTATCTTGGACATCCTTATGTATAAATATTTTTCTAGATTACATTTCTACAAAGGGCACTAGGGGATTTGAACTTTAAAGAGTTATTTTCAATGAAACAACCTAACATTCTGCTAAATAGTGTCTTACTGCTATTCAAAAACATTTTCAGCCAGTGGCTCATGCCTGTAATCCTAGCTACTCAGGAGGCTGAGATCTGAGGATCATGGTTCGAAGCCAACCCCGGGGCAGAAAAGTTGCTGAGAAGCTTACCTCCAATTAACTACTCAAAAATCAGAAGTGGAACTTTGGCTCAAAGTGGTAGCCTTGAAGAAAAGAACTCAGGGACAGCACCTAGACCCTGATTTCAAGCCCCATGACGAACCACCCCCTGCATCGCCCCTACCCCCCCCCCCCCGCCCAAAAAAAAAAAAATGTTTTCAAGCCCAGTACCTGTGGCTCACACTTGTAATCCTAGCTACTCTGGAGGCTGAGATCTGAGGATCATGGTTTGCAGCCAATCCAGGCAGAAAAGACCCTGAGACTCTCTATCTTCACTAAACTGCCAAAAACCAGAAGTTGAGCTGTGGCTCAAAGTGGTAGAGTGCTAGCTTTGAGCAAAACAAACTCAGGGAAGAGCCTAAGCCGTGAGTGTGAGACCCAGGACCAGCATACAACAACAACAAAAATTATTTACACTCTTTATTTCATGAGAGTCCTTTCCTCACTAACGTGCAGCTTGCTTGCCTCCTGCGCCTGCAGTGGGAGGGGGGGCTTCAATAGCTTCCACTACTATTGAGGCTTGGCATCTGCCAGTCACTTGTTTCCAGGCCCTAAATTCCTGTTGGTACCTTCTGATGGGCCTCCTTTAGGGAGCTGAGCACATTGGCATCGTAAGATTGGTCACTGTTGTGTGTTCCTCAAGAGCTTGTTTGATTGGGTGCCAGTGGCTCACACCAATAGTCTAGCTATTATATGAAAGAGGCTGAGATCTGAGAATCTCGTTTGTTGTTTTTTTATTTTTGTTGGTCCGGGGGCTTGAACTCTGGGCCTGAACGCTGTCCCTCAGCGCTTCATCTCAAGGCTAGCACTCCAGACCACTTGAGTGCCACTTCTGGCTTTTTCTGTTTATGTGGTGCTGAGGAATCAAACCTCATGCATGTGAGGTAAGCACTCTACCACTGAGCCACCTTCCCAGCCCAGGATCTCATTTGAAAGCCAACCAAAGCAGACAAGTCTGAGAGACTTGGATTAACCAGCCCAATGCCAGAAGTGATGTGGCTCAAGTGGTAGAGTACTAGCCTTGAGTGAAAAAGTCAAGCCAGAGTGAGGCTCTAAATAAAAGCCCCAATACCAGCATACACACACCATTTTGGAAATTAGGTACAGGAACCCTCAGTTAATATATATTTTAAGAGAACATCTCAAAAGTAATGCAGCATGACAAAAAAAAAATCCCTGATATTTCCAGGCTAATCAAATACCCCTTTCTTTCCATATGTGAAAGTTGGATAAAATACATTGATTTTTTTTCTTTAGGCACTGTCATGCTGACCACTTTTTTGGAAAAGGGACTATTTCCAAGTCTGTAGTATTACCACTAGACTTAATAAAGCAGACATTAGGATGCAGACATTTTTGCTCTTCCTGGTCTAATATTTGTGGGTAATTTCAAGCAAATGCTAACTGGATCAGTAAATCTTCATTCACGTGGAGAAATGTTGTTGCTGGTGCATTAGCCATGTCTGATATCTATGTGTTGGCATCCTCCTGTCCTGGGCAGAGCAGATCCATGACAGGTGGGCACAGCCTGTTGGAGATGGCCACCCAGCAGCATGGTCTATGGTCACCTAGAGTCAAGGCTTGGGGAGTTCAAAACTTCAGTGTCATTTCCTGGAGGCCCTTTTGCTTTGTTTACTTTTAAGATTGGGTCTTGCTTTTTGCCTGCACTGGCCTGAACCATGTTTTTCCTATTTATACTTCCCCAGTGGCTGAGATGGTAGGCATATACTAATAGTCTGGATTTTTTCTAATGTTTGTTAGGGATCTCACTAACTTTTTGTCCAGAAGGGCCTCAAACTGGGATACTCCTGATCTCAGCCTCTCTGGTAGTTTGGTTTAGAGGTGTGAGCCAATGCCCTGGATTTGTGTATGTTAGGACAGTAACTGAAGTTAAGTAAGCTTTGATAATACTGTTGTGTTTGCTGTTGTTCATCTTGGGGGTTTAATGATGGTATTTTTTGGGGGGAGGGGGTTGGTCATGGGGCTTGAACTCTGGGCCTGGGCACTGTCCCTGAGGTCTTCAGCTCAAGGTGAGTGCTCTACTACTTGATCCACAGCACCACTTCCAGTTTTCTGGTGGTTAATTGGAGATAAAAGTCTCATGGACTTTACTGCCCAGGCTGGCTTTGAATTGCCATCCTCAGATCTCAGCCTCCTGAGTAGCTAGGGTTACAGGC